AAAACGTCTTAACCTCTAAATGTAATTTATATTCATGAGGATATGCACATGAGTTACATCTTGACCTTTCAATTATAACAAACAACCAAAGATTTAACGATACAATGAAAAGTTGATTTACCTCCAGAGGACTTATGGAGCTATTTTTTAAAATAGATATATTTTTAAGACAAATATTCGTGCATATCATCTTCAAGGTCTTCCTCCATATTGAAATCTTTTGTTTACATCTTTTAAAAACAAAATGTGAATACAGTTTTTGTGTCATATTTAGTTTGTGATGTTTGTTTTATGTTGTTTATGTTTTACTTATTACTTATTTTAAGCCCAACCGTGATGTTCTTACTCAAGTGGTTCAGTCTGGATGAGTCTCATGAGGTGTGACTGAGTGAACCTTGAGATAACCAGAGCGGCAATATTAGGAATCCCACTGCGCTTCTGGTCAGAACCGCCCCGTGATGTTTGTAAACAATGAGCAGAACGATGGAATACTTTCATCACTGGTGATCAGATGCGTGTTGTTGACGAGTGTCTCAGGTGTTACAGCATGACGTCACTATCACGTCAAGATCAATGATGTCACCACCTCGTGACCTCAACAGGTGGAGCTGTTAGAAGCATCATATTTAATATTATATTTAATATTAAGAGGGTTTATAATAACTCCTACATGAAGGATTCATGAAGTGATGAAGTGGTATTTCATAGATATTAGTTCCTCTTTAATCACACACACACACACACACACACACGCTCATACATCCCATAATAAGAGCAGCTGGAGGTCGGGTCCTGAGTGTGTTCAGCGTTACCTCCGATGTCCGGGCGCAGTTTCTTGTCGTATTCCTTCAGCAGGTTGTTGAGTATTTCCGTGGCGTCGGAGTCCTGGACTCTGGGGGCCAGCATCTGGTTGACGGTGACGTCCTCGTCCTCGTCCTCGTCCTCCAGAGTCAGAGAGCTGTGGAGGCAAAGTGAGACAAGCTGATGCTTCTCTGCAGACACCAAGACACGAGACCCTCATTCACTTTAGAATAAAGTTTCATTTATCCCACACCCCCTGAACACAACGGTCTCTCAGCGCAGCCTCACCAGGTAAGAAGGACAGACAGGAGGAGGACGTGAGCCAGGACTCTGGGAGACATGCTGGTCTCGGGAGGACCGGTGGAGAGGAGCCGGTGCGGCTCAGAGACGGAGAAGCTCCTCGTGGTTTGTAATCCAACCGACGCGTCACTCATCCTCCAGGACCCGGTCTACCTCCGCGCTGGGGCTGTGGACGTGGCTGCTCTCACGCAGGTGCGCACTGGGACTGGATCCCGAGACTCTGAGCCTCTGAGAGACCCCCGACCCACCAGCGAGTCCTCCACGGGGGTTCAGTGTGCGTCAGGGTCTCGTGCACAGCTTCATCCAGAAGCACCGTTAAAACAAAAACCCGCCTTCTTTAATTAAACATAATGGTGAAATGTATAAACAGATAAATACAATAATTGTTTGACTGACTAAAATACAATATTTTAATAATAAAGCCAATTAAACAAGACAATAAATATGTCCCATTAATATGAATTATAGATAAAGACTTTATTGATCCAGAAAAGGGAAAATATTTAGTTACAGCAGCAGGTTATCCAGATCTCTCTCTCTCTCTCTCTCTCTCTCTCTCTCTCTCTCTCTCTCTCT